AGACCTCAGCCACCTGCAATCACAGAAATGTAAGAAGTCTCACTGAAAAGGCAAAAGCCATGCATTTCCTTGGAAGATTTGCATGACCAGCTTCAGCTTCACATGACAAAGAGGAGGCAGGTCTTCTTATGCATGCTGCTTGATTCCAGCCAGCTTCAGCCCAGTGGAGGTTTTAGGAGTGGCCTGCGTTCTACTATGGAACAAGCACAGCCAAGGACCTTGCCTGAGCCCGGTGCTTAAACACCCAGGCTCTGGCACAAAAGTGCTTTTCAGGCTGTCTCTATGACACTAGGCAGACACCTCTGTAGGCAGGTAGCTGAGTTGAACCCATGGCAGACACAAGGTGATGCTGGAGACTTGGTAACTCCCATCTTTTACAGCAACACTCAGGCTGTTACTTGCAAGTGTCCCGCTCCATCTCCAGACTTCAAGTTTTGGCTTTATTTTCTTTTTTATGATAAAATCCTCAGCATGCTTTCAAGAACTGTATTCAGATCCAGGTCATCCCAGGGGGCGGGGGAGGCAAGAGGATTTCATAAAGCTAATCCAAACTTACCGGTAAGCTGTAACCTGCACAGCCAGAGGCCAGCAGCTGCTGTTCCACAAGCAGGGCACTCATTACTCATGGGCATGCACCTGTTAAACATCTGCAGCTGCCAAAGGCTCTGCTGAGGGATCAGGGACCATTTATGATATTTCCCTATCTCAGCTGATGGCCTCTGTCACCCCTTAAGAACTTACAGCTTGGTGCCACCTCCCAGCTTCCTGTAAGCATGCTCTACATAGGATCTCTCTCCAGCTGCACCACCACCAGCTGGAAAGAAGCCAGAGATACACACTTTGCCATCAACTGGCCTGCACTGCAGCCATCTCGGACGGAGCATGCAGCAGTCTGAACACAAACCGACCTTGCCAACACCTGTCTTGGCCTCCCAAACCCACTGCTGCCTCAAGCAACTTCTTGTTGAAAAGCAAGTTACTTCCTTGCTGTCCTATCATGGTGTCCTCACATGGTTGCTGGGGGGGTGGGGGGGAATCCTGAATTCAGCCACTGGCAAGGTAAGCAGGAAGTTTACTTCCAACACTACTGATTTTCCTCCGGTACGTTGGAAATGAGAAGCCTCAGGAAGGGTTCAAAGATGACTCAACATCTAATGGCCAGGTTCTACAGCAGATATTTAACACACACTCCTAACCATGACTCCCGGCCCTAGGTAATCAAAAGGAAACTCCCCCAACAAAAAAGTTGACTTACAGTGGGGTAGAAACAGGATAGACTCAGAAAACAGTTACATTCCCCAATTCACCACACAAATGTAGGCAAATATTTAAAAGTTACTGTAAAATAGGGCTCACACTTAAGGAAACAGGTCCTGGAAACAGGACTGTCAGGTTTACACTGGATACCCTTGCCTCAACAATAGTGTCTGCATACATGCAAGGTACAAGGAAAGAACTGCCCATGGCTCAAACATCCAGACCCACAGCACAGACATAATCAAAAAGGCTCGCTCTTTATTTGAAACATAAAAAGAAACATTTTACACAGCTTTGTTAGAACTATTCAGTACCTGCATTCCAGAATTGTGCCAAACACTTTATTTTATAACTTTGAAATTAAAACAATAAAAAAAGAAAATAACTTGCCCTTCTGCTATTTGATGTTCAAGCTTGTCCTGGATTGAAATTCCAAGTGCCTGGAGGAATTTACCAGCTTAACCAGGAGATGTGGCAATGTGAACAGAGGAAAATCAACGTGAGCCCTTAGGATACTTTGACAATACCACAGGTTGCAGCAGGGAGGATATGGATGCTTGCACTGCATCTCAGGCAGCTTACTCTCCTGATACTCTGCAGGTTTAATACACAACCAGATGCACACATACCTCCACTCACACAAATCCCGGTCACACAGGAAATAATAATAATAAAAAACATGAAAAGTGACCTAATTTTTTTTTTCATTAGAGAGAAGATTCCCACTTTATTTTAAAAAAAGGGGATAATACAAAATTGGCACAAGTAGAAGGCAAGCTGGGGGGTTAAGTCTAGCCCCTCAGCTTCTAGCCTTCCAACTATAGCAAATACAGGGTGGAAGGGGATGCAGCATTGCCTTCCAAGGGGCTGGCAGCAGTAAGAGCTAGCAGCGAGCTTGCTTCACCTGGAATGACAAAGATGGTTTGTTATGGACCATGAAGGAAGGGCAGCATTAGCTAAGGACATGGGGACTTTTCATTAGAGCAGGGAGCTCTGACCAAAATAACCCTGAGTTTTTTCCAGCAGGGAGAAAATGTGCTATGTTTTGTGCTTGGGAAGAGCTGGCGGTTCCCTGCTCGTTCATTCCCTAATTATTGCATTACAGTCGTGATACTCTCTTCCTAAAACTTAACCAAGAGCACATAAACAAAGAGTCAGTCTGCAAGGACAGATGCTGAGCTTGGAACTTCACCACCACTAACACCCCTCCCAAGATGCCCCAATGCCACAGGCCTTCCATGTAGAAAGTGGATGTTAATGCAGGAAAGAAGCTGCTAAATCAGTGTGGGGAGGACAGCCAGCATCCCAAACATCAGAATGATGTTTCATAACATCCAAGGAAAAAGCAAGATTTCACTACAGCAGACATAGGAGAGGAAGAAAAATTCTTGCTGTCAAGAAAAATTAAAAAATTCTTCAAAATTCAATTCTTCAAAAATGTCAAAAATTCTTGCTTGTCCTTCCTTTGGAAAGCATTGCTACAGATTTCTGGGCTTTCACAGTGCAAGCTAGACTGCTCCTGCCCTGTTCTTCAGCAGTGGCAGCTACATCTGCCTGCAACATAGGCCTTTACAGAGCTCTTCCAGAAAGGAAAACATGAGGCCAGAAAGAAAAGTTGCTATGAATGTTCAGGCCAAAGTCTTCCAAAGGTTTATATGTTTGGGGTGTCGCCGTTTTGGAAGACTGTATGAAATGTTTTAGAGTGTCAAACAACAAGTTGCAAGCCCCAACTCTGCAAATCAAGTCCATTTTGAAGATGTCTCGCATTCAGCTTCCAAAAATCACTGGACATCTCTATGCACAAATATGTATATGTATGTGATTGTATGTATGTTTGCACGTGGGAAGCAGAACAGCCTTCTAGAAGAAAACTCATGTCAGCCTCAGAAAAAGGGTCACAATGTGGCAGGGGGGAACCACACAAAAAAAAAAAAACCTTACCACAAAAAAACCCGATTTTGGAATAGCAACAGTGTTGAGTGCAAGGCTCCACAAACACTAATGCAAAATGAAGACTTCATAGGACAGATACTAGACCTGCAGCTTCCCTGGAATGTGCAGTGGGATGAGCTATTAGTAAAGCAGACCAAATATGTAACGAGTACCTAGATTGGCAACAGCACACCACAGCCACTACCTTTCATGGATGCTCTCCTTTAGTGTCTTTTATCTTAAAAAAAATCTGGAAAGGATTGAGCCCTGGCCTCAACTCTACATTTCTCACCTTCCTTGATGCGAGCCAAACCTTGGCTGTGACATCAGGTTGCGGTACAGTCCCACTTCCTTGTTTGTTTATACACAGTATCTCTATTCTGACTTTTATTGCTTAAAACACCAGCTGTGCTGGGAAGACAGAACTGCCTGGAAAAGGAGCTGCTCCCACTCAGGAGCCAGGCCAGTGTATGTGGAAGACCAAAGCAGGACTTCTATACTATAGCACCTAGGAATAGGTCTCAAACCCATGGGGAAAACCTGCTGCAGGCCCATGCACAAGACCAGGATAACTGGAACCTCTTGGGCTTGCTCCTATTCCTACCCTGAGCTGCACTTCAGCTACTGCAGATCTCAGACTCTGCTCACAGGTTTAAGGGTTACCACTGAATGACTGGCAGAAGCAGCACTGGCGTCCGGTCTGTGCATTTGGTAATACATAGTTTACAAGTCTTCTCTAAACATGATCAGTTGGTCAACTGCAGACAAAGATCCATCTCACTTTTTTTTTTTTTTTTTTCCCCCCACACCATCACCAGTGAGGCAAGGTCTCCCACCACTCTGCCGAGGCCAGCAGAAGGCTGGGTCTTGTCCCTAGATACCACGTGCCCCCCCCTGCTACAAGCAGAACAGGGTCTCAGGCACAACGTGAGCAGCTGTAGTGGGGAGAAAAGTCGGTGGAAGGGGTGGGGTGGGAGAAGGTGGCCATAAGCAGACATCCAATAAACGCTTGTCTGAGAATTGACTCTCCAGGGTTATCAAGTTAGCCCCTATTCACCACAGCTTAAAGCTGTGAGCACTGAAAATAAAATTAAAAAAAAAGTTTAAAAAAAGTGCCTCAAAGATGCCCAAACGAGTTATGTTTTGGGGTTAACTGCAAACCCTTTAAAAGCCAGGGAAAAGAAGGCATGCTGACAACTGGAACAGTCTCATGAGGCACCAGCAGAGGAACCTTCTCCAGCCTTCAATCCAACACAGAGAAGTCTGTGATATGCCAAGGTGGACAGAGAAAAGGAACAGGATGGTGTGACGGGTGTAGAGGGGAAAAGTAGATTGGTTAATACAATGAAAGTCTAACGCTTCTACCAGTTCCTTTCCCACCCATCACCCTACCCATCACACTTTCATACAGGGATATCTTTTCAAAACTGAGAGGGGAGGGAAAAAAAACCCACCCAAAAAAAAAAACCAAACAAAAAAACCCCCAAAAAACCAAAACCACCAAACAAAACCAAAAAAAGCCTTAGTGAATTTTGTCACAGGGCCCTGCTGAAAGAAGGCTCAACAGTTTGCACAATAGAAGGACATGATCCCTATTGAAGAAAGTGCTGCTGGAAAAGGAGAACTCCGAAGTCGCTAAATATGGCCTGAATGCTCTCAGGATGTGACGTGTAACAAGGAGAAGCTTGAGGTCCAGGCTGAAATTCAGAGAAGAAACGCACTGTCTTGTCTGAGCCTGTGAGCGAGTGTCTCAGCACAGTCAAGAGCCCTGTGAGTCTCTCCCGAAATGCAAGTGTGTCCGACTCCCACGCTCAGTCCATCTCCATCGACATTAGCCGGCGACGCTCTCGTCTTGTTTCCTGCACTTCCTTCTTGCAGCACCAACGGGAGCTGCAGTAGCCAATGAGGCAGGATAAGAGTCCAATGACAGTGGCCAGACCAATGCCAATCAACAGGGGATACTTGAAAGCATTCAGAACTGAAAGAGGAAGGCAAAGTCATTAGATATCACTGAGAAATTCAGAGATCCCCTTCATTTGTTCTGCCTAAAAAGGAGAAAATCCCACATTACTCAGTCACGGGAAGATTCATTACTTCAGAAGGAAATTACACTCATTTTCTTTCTTGATTTCTGTCTTTTGAGGTTTGGAAAATTAAGTCTCTTACTAGGCTCTCTTACCTCCTCACCCTAATTCTTCCTCTACCATTTCAAAGCCTCAGGGAGTCTGGAAGCACCAGAGGAACCTTGGAGTAAGAGAGCAAAGTAGAGCTAGCTCCAAGAGGTACTGCATTACCTGTACCTCCAAACAAAAGCCTTGCAAAGTTTCCCCATCAGAGGCAGACTATGGCTGCACTCTTTGTAATGTTTCCAAATGGCAAAGAGTGGACTCCTTTACACTTTGCTTGATTAGAACTACTCAAACAGTATATTCACTGTCACTTGGCAACCCTGTTTAATCAAACTCCAAAATTGGTACCTAAACAAGAAATTTGATTGGTAGGCACCTACTGCTCAGTTAAAACACAGGGTCAAGAATTGTAAGGAGTTTGGAAAGTACAGTTATAATAGTTATCTGCACAGTAGGGAAGACAAAACCTTCTGATTCCTTTCAAGTTCATGGAAATTCCTAATGTGACCTCTCCTGGAAATATTGAGAAGAAAGCAACTAGTTCAAAACCCCTCCTCTGCATTAATTCTCCCCCTTAGCTACATGCTGAATGCATCATCTAGTGTGCAACTTGCTTCTCATGAAGTCTAGCAAACACTTGCAACTCAGGTTGGAAAGCAGACCAGGCATTAAGTCAGGGAGCAGCACATCTTGTGGTTAGGAGAGGGAAGAAAGAGTCAGAGCTCTGACTTTCTGTTCTCAGCTTTGGTATTAACCACAACGCAACTCTACTTCAGCACTCCCCATCTGCAAACCAAGGCTTCCTCCTGCAGGCAGCAGAAGGGTTAACACCTGGAGAGAATACTATGTCTTGACTGAAAGATGCCCCGGCTATGCAAAACATCGCCAAGAGATGATCAGGAAAGACAACACTCCAGCCTTATGAGTACGATCTGTTCAGGCTTACCTAGTCTACAGAACCTGGAATCAGAAGTGTCAAACAATAGAAAAGGGTAACAAAATCTAATGAGATTATCACAGGTACCTTTAAAAATAGCAACAGGGAATATTTGTCACAGAAAGACATAAGATGATGTGGAAAAAAATACTGCGTAACACATGCTGCAATCTCTTACCATCCATTTTCACAGATAGAAAGATGGGTTTGGCTTTGATGTCAGGTTCCCGCTGCCATACGCCAGTGGCAGATCTCACCCACGGGGTCACTATGCAGTAGTGGTTCCCAAAGTCGTGGTCCTCACAGCCATGCACGCGGAGCCGGAATTCCAGTGGGCTGATTCTCTCCAGGCTGAGATCACTGCTCCCATTTCTCCTGCTCTGTGTGACAATCCCTCTCCGGTCCAGTGAGGCCAGCAAGACAGGCTCTCTGTCCAACACAAAGGAGCGCACAGCAAACCAGGAGACATCAAAGGACATATCATCTGCATTTGTGGACAAAGAAGAATTTGGACACATTGGTGAGCTCCAGAGTCTATTCATAGTGCCAATTCTCAACAGAAAGGTTAATCTGCAGGGAACATAGCCAACACTGGTCTGACAGTAGAAGAAAGAAAGAAAAGAAAGAAAAAAGGAAAAAAGAGTGCTCTGAACACGTCCTTTATAGGAGGATTCAAGCAGCGAACTGCAATGGCATGAAGAATGTAGCTGCGCAGAAAGGGTGACTTACTACAGGGATGACAAGGAGGAGGTTTCTTGCTTTCCTGCCTGCCATCCTAAAATTTGTATTTAATCTCTGATCGAAGTTTTCACCAAGCACGCCCAGTGTCATAGTAAGTCCTATAGCTATGCTGAAACTACATTGAAAAGGTATTGGAAGTGCTAGGTATTTGCTAGCAGAGAGTGATATGCAATCACTGTCTTCATGCAGGGCCTAGACAACCACAAAGTCAGAAGGCTCTTTCCTGAAGACTCCTTCCTTACATTTCATCTGCCTAAACGAATACAGAAGTTGTACACAGAGCACAAGAAAATTACCTACAAAAATACAAAGCATTCAGGAGCAAGGCCTGACCACGATGCTCTTACACTTTTTTTTCCAGAGTTGCCGGTTACCGTCACGCATCATCAGGCATCACGCCTTGTAGAAGTTTGACCACCCAAGGAGATAGTCTATAGAATGCATTTACACCTTTAACATTTAACATAGCTGACAGGTAGTCAGAGTTCATCAACACATCTAGGTCTTTCTATGTTCATGCAAGATCCTATTGATCCCATTAGCAGATCCGTCTTAACCCTATTAGGCTGATGTAGCTGAGTATCTACTTTAAAAATCACTGCTATTCTTTGCTAATGTAAGCCCAGCAACACTGTCAGAGTCTGAAACCTGGCATGACCTAGGCCACAGACAGGAAAGCCTCACTTGTTTCATCAACAGGTCTTCCTTTTTGGCACACAAACAAACTGATGGGCCCAAACTGGAAACAGAGGCTACTATTTCTGTCCTGAGTTTTGGGTACTGGTAGAATTTAAAATTATTTTAAAAAATTAAATTTTTTTAAAAAAAAATAAAAACTGATCTTCCATCTAATTGAGTTTGCTCTTCTCTAGATTTCCACATTTGATCTCCAGGCTAATGGAAAAATTAAAACCCCTAAATTTGCTGCTGTACTCAAATTCTTTGCAGATATAAATGAAGACAACCTTTAAGCCTCTATCAGGCAAGCTAACACTTCAGGAAGGAAGGGAACCTTAAAATACTATTTTAAAGTAAAGTGAAATAAAGGGGCATCCTCAGCAACGCTACTTGAAGTATAGCATCAGCTTGCCAGATGGAACGTTGCCCCTTACTGCAGACAAAACCCACCCACTGTTTGGGGTATAATTACCTCCCCTGTGAGGTGCACTGATTTTACACACATCTTCAAAAACGAACAAAAAGACGAGAAAGCAGATGGTTCTACCAGAGATGCTGCCTGATCAAACTGTTTTGAGACACCAGCCAGTTTCCTGCCCTGCCTGCCACGGCCAGCTGCTCTGGGTGACAGCACAGAACCTCAAAAGAGCATTGTGCCTGTCTTGCAGCCCTAAAGCAGGAGTAGGTTTCCCAGTCCTACATGGGGGTAAGCATAGGTCATATTGACCAGCAGCCCTCACAACAATCACTCTTGCCTATCATACTACAAATCCTACTATTAATTACTTGGCACAGCACTCTGATCACTTCCCTTGAAAGCAAAGCTAATAAAAATTACCATAAACACATGTTCAGTTAATGGGACCAAACTCTGACCTCTGCTTTGTGTACTCATCCAACTGTCTGTGGGAAACAGGGCCTCTACTGGAGAGAGCTCCGTTTCTATAAACTACTCTTCATCTCTGCTGCCTGTTTATGCCAAATACGGTAATAGCACTGGTCCACAGGCAGTCACATTGGGAACAACCAATTCCTTCCAAAGATCATCAAGACTGCCGTTAGCTCTTGTGTTTCCAGGTACTGTAGGAGCATATGGACACTTTCCAGGCTAAGTCCACCTATGCTGAACACACCACTGCACTTGCTAAAAAAGGTTTAAACAATACATTTAGACACACAAAAAAAATAAATCTAGCCTTCAGATTTCCACGCAACTTGCTACCTTTGAAAAATTCCTTCTTTTCAGTCTCAATTAATTTGAGGCTCTCTTCCCTCCACATACAAAGATGAGTGCAGGCACTTGCTGTCATTTTGAAATAGCCGAATCTATCTTCTGTAATTACAACATGGGACAACAGTATTATGCCAACATATTTTATTAGTCAGTATACACAGTGTGCAATTAGTGACTCACTACAGACAGTCAGAGGGAGGATTTGGCTCCGGGTACTCTTTGTCACTATCCTCCTTGAAATAGCTTAATACAGTAAAGTCATCTGATTCATTTCTATATATCTCTGGCTTTTATGCAATAAAAACACAGGAAAATTTAGGAGAAACAGGACCTAATCAGCAGCTTCCTAAAGATCAGTGATGAACGTGCCTAGCAGCTCCCAAGTGTTAATAAATACGTGGTTTTGCTGACATAAAACAACAGGTCATACACTAGGCTTGCAAAAGAACCTGTACCATTCCACACACATCTTGCATCCATGTTGACAAGTCACTCTCACAACTTTTGTCTGCAATCTACAAAAAACAAACCCAACCAAACACTCACACTTAACACCACGAAGGTTTCTTCCACCGGTTCCTTCCACACTCAACATTGTTGTAAGTAGTGTGGGACACCTGGCCAAAGTGCCCCACATTAGAGGAAAGCGTAACGTCCCAGTGCCAAGCTCAGAAGGCCATCAAGGACCTCAGTGCCCCCAGATCATGCAACTCAGCTGCTTTCATAAAGGAACACAAAGCACCGGGAGCTGGACACTTCAGAGCTCTGCGAGCAGAGTAATAGTGGTGCTATGCCTCCTCCCCTCTTCAGTCAGTGAGGATCATCAACACGTAAAGCACATCTTTATGCACATTTCAATTTGTCACACAGGACTAAGCTGTCTGGGTCTTAGCTGCTTCCCTGGCCAATCACTCCTCAAAACAGGGAATCCTATTTCTAGACCAGCTCTTAGGAACAATACACTTCCACTGCTTAGAATGGAGCTCTCTCAGCATCTTGTTACAGTGCTGAATCACAATTTTGAGACCCTTTTTGTTTACTACATTTAAATGAGGTTGAATAGGGCTTCCTAGAGAGCTGAGCAAACCACTTCAAGCCATACAAGAGGTAAACAAGCTGGTTTTGTTAAATTCTCCAGAGTGCCCACTGGGTCTGTCTGGAGCAGATAAAAAAAACCATCTCCTTTCAGGCACAGTAAGTAATACTTTTAAATCCCTAAGCACATAGCCCAAGAAAGGGTGATCTGGGAAGTCTAGAGAGATCGTTTGTGAAAATGTGTATTCAACAGAAATATCAGAAGCAGCTTTTATATCTTCAGGGCACAGAACTACTACTATTCCCCCTTGACACACACATACTCCCCTCACATCAATTCAAAACACCAACCACAGCTGCCAAGCCAAAGGAACACTTCTTTAGATGGAGCAGTTGCTGCCATGTACTGAGCTTAGTAATACACACTCCATTTCAGCAGGGTCTCAAAGAAGCAGAGGAAATTAAAGCACGCAGCAGTCACGCCAAAACCTTTTACACCCTTTTGAAGATTTCCCACAGGGTGGGTACACACACACACACACACACTCACACACTATTATGAATTGCCTCTACCAGACAAGGGTCCAACCCCTAAGTAATGCTTCTAAAAACAAATAGATCGATCTAAATCTAACAAAAAAGGGCACTGACAAAGATCATTGGTCACATAACTTCTTCTCAGCTCCTTGGAAGTCCTTTATTCTTCTGCCTGTGCATACAAAGAGGGTGAAGAGGTGGCACCTGACACCTCAACTTATTACAGGAAGCATACATACTAATCCACATGCATGCTGGCAAAGTTGAGTGCCTATGTGTAGAAGAGCAGAGCTGGCTGGCATACCAAGTGTGTTCAGTGTTTTGCATGCACATTTAACAAGACATCCTATGAAATTCCCTGGTCCTTCTTTGCTCATAAGAGCCCAAAACACAGCCCTGCAGCAGGTCTGACACCAGAAGAGTAGATGGTCTATGAAAGCCATCAAGCCCCTCAGAAGAGAGTCAAATGCAATCGCTCTGTTTTCCTTTCTCATCAAATTCCCGAATGGAAAGACCATGTCTGTACTGCTGTCATCCGTTTTCTTCTAGGAGGTGCTGGCAACTCTTGCTCTATTTATCTGATTACCTGGTGTACGGTTTCCCTAACAACGCACCTCATTTCCCCACAGAGATGAGACAGCCCTGTTATTTTCACTGCCTGTCTCATGTTTGGCACTCATTTATAAAGCAAGTTCTCTATTCCAGTTGTGAATTAAATTGTGATATTGACTCAGCATGGAGACAGATCAGAGATGGGATACAGGGGAATAAGGTTACTACTGAGGAACTACATCTGTTTGTTATCACATAAGCCTTAAGGCCCTTCTTCACCTAACCTGCTCCGTTATCCCACTGCTCTAGTCCCCTCCATCTCTCAAGGTCAAGACAGCAGGCTGGCAAGGGAAGCCTGCACACCCTACAGCTGTTGCACAGATTCCAGCTGCTCCCTGCAGTTCTTCTGCCTGTCTCAGCCAGAGGACCAGCAAGGACTGCAGAGGAGCCAGCTTCTCAGGCCCATATGAAAGGCCCAGATGGGGTTTCTCCACACAGCATGGCTGGTTAGGCCCCAAGTCCTGCTCATTCAGCAACTGGAGGCTCAGAGCATGGCCTGAAAGGTTCCCTCAAAACCTGCCAAAATGCCACACTTTACTCCATTCTAGATATATCTGTTGCCTGTGTCTCATCTGCCCCATTACAGACTCAAAAAAAAAACAAACCCCAACTCCCCCCCCCCAAAAAAAAAAAACCAACAAACCCACACCAAAAAAACCAACCAAAACCCACAGAGGCAGAGATCCACCATGTTCAAGATGACATTACCCAGCTATGGAACAGATTACAGTGCTGACATTTAAAACTTTGCACTGGCTGCTCATGACAGCATCATTTCCAACTCCAGGCATCATCTATCATCTATCAATTCAACAGACATCCACGAACACTTACGAAGTTGCTCAGTCAAAACGTAAGTGTGCTGATGAAGCTCCTCGAAGAGGACACCTTTTTACTTCAATCCCTTTGATTATCCTTATCTTGTCAGTGCTTCTCCCAGTCTCAAACTACCAAACACACACAAAACCATCACAAACCCAACTGCAGCAGGAGCACCGACAGCAGAGCCCCACTGTTACTAAGTGGCTTCTTTTCAAGTTTTAAGTGAGTCAGGGATGCTGAAGCCTCTTTCACAAGGCAACCCCAAGCTTATTTTAGCTGTCAAACACCAGCAGAAGCAGCAGCTTCTCCCTGCCAGCAATCATTGCTGTGCAAAGTAAGCCAGCTGCTTTTGGGTACTGCCTCACAACGATACCTGCAAGAGCTTGGGCACACCTCAACTTAGAAGAGGCTTCTTGCTGAGCAGAAACCACAGGACAGACTGAGGTAGACATACAGGCATATGTCGCTGCTTACTGGGTCCAATATCCCAGGCTATGAATCTTCTGACAGCAATAAAGTTTACTCAGCTTTTCCTCCCTACCAAGCGTTTCAGTAATACAACCTACAGACTTCTATAATTTTTTCACAGGCAGCACACAACTGAAATCTAGCAAATTGCTTCCCCACTACGCTCAGATTTAATGTAGAACAGACATCTTGGAATTTCAAAGTGATGAGCCTTTACTAAGCTTGGTACTTATCAGCTACTATATTGTAAGTACTATTTTCTGCACAGCACCTCTTTTGTATTGTAGTAGCTTATGTGTAGATTTCTAAGCTTCCCATTAATCAAGACATCTTTATATTTAGGTAGATACATTTATATATTTATATTCACATACAGATTTATTTTAAATACATTTTTATATTCATATCTATATACTGACTTAAAAAACCTAAACTCACTCCATACCCAAATTTGGGGTATAATAACTAGAGTTATTCTCACAGCATTTTGATTAAAAGCAGCTCAGGCAATGCTTGGCAAGCAGCTAGCTTTTGAGCAACTCTCTGAAATTCTCAGCTCATAAAAAGTTGCCTTTAAAGTGTCTGCTATCCTTTTCACAGCAATTAGGTACTGCACTTCTTCCACACACAAAAAAAAAAAGGGTCACCTCTGAAGGCATCAGCAATAAACATTCATTTTTGGCATTTAGGCTGCAGTAATCAATTACTGTGATTTTTAGATTTACAGTAAGCCTTAAATTCATTCTGAATTGTGAAGCTGACTGGCCAGGTGACTTTAAGATTTGTTTACAGATGACCATATTCTCTTAACAGACTTTGCCAATGGACCCCCTTCCAATTAAAAGAAACAGGAATAGGCTTCATGGCCCATCTAGTGGTTGTAGGCTGAGATTGCCAGCAGTGGGGTCAGTTGGTACAGACAGCACAGGGGGGTTTAGTGGTAAGAACACTTTTCCCCCCTCCCCTCAGAATGTGAAACAAAACCCCTTGGGTTTAGATTGGGCTGTGTAAAGCAAACATGTTCTCCTATGTTTATCTAGTTCTATAGAATTTTCAGTGCTGGTTCTCAATTCTCCAGCCTCACTCAACGGACAGAGGGTTGTAACTGCTCGTATTATTCTGCTTGGCGAAAGCAAAAGAGTTACAAGTAAAATAATTTTACCAAAATACCTGGCTCAAGTACCATTCCTTCCATTGTGACGATACACAGCAAATCTGCCAGTTCACCCTGGTAAATCGTCGGGTTGTCAGAATGCACCGAGACATTAAACACAGGACCTAGGAAAGAGTAACCACAATTATTTATGACAGGCTTTTCCTGAGTGTCCAAAACCTTTCTTGTGTGTTTTTGAAGCATCCTCTGCTAGTTTGTGGAGACAGAGCTCTGAGGTAGGGATAAGCAATCATGTAAGTTTTAGCAAAACAGTTATTCATTTTTAGCCATTAATTCCTGCACTAAGACAAAGTACCCAAACTGCCAGATCTGTCACCCCACACAGAGGCTGCTGCCCAAGTCTGCCTTCTACTGTCCTGCACAAAAGGAGTTGGTCTTTCACTGGTGATTCCGCTAAGAGCACGAGAGTTCAGGTCTTCAGGCTAATCCAGCATGGATCTTTTCGGCTGAAGCTGTCAACAGGAATTCAAGTTAGAGCAAACTAAAAAAGTATTTTAATAATACAGATGGTTCTGCCATGGAACTGAAACACAGACAATACAAGAAGTGCATCTGATAACACTCTTCTGTGGGCTTTCCTTCAGGCTGTGCCACAGACAGCTTCTTTTGTAGAAGATGTCTCAAAGCCCAAGGGTGCAGTAACTCCTTCAGTTGCAAAGCAGTGATGATATTGATGAAAACCATTAGGCTGTTATGAAATGCTCAAACACCATGACAACATGTGGTGTTTGACTTCTGAGGTACATAAGTTAAAAACCAAAACTTCCCCAAATTTTTACAACTAAATCTCTGGTGCAAAATTAAGAAAACCACAACTCCTCAGATATGCCAACGTTGCTTGTGCTCTCTATTTCACAGGGCAGAAACTGAAGAACGTATCAAAATACCCGTAGTGATTTTTCTTCTAAACAAGTGAAGGAGATGAGTAGGAGGAAAGCTGATGCTAACGGTGGCCTCAGGGATGGCTTTGGGGGAAGGGGCCAGGGAACCCAAGAAGGAACTTGGGACTCGGATTAAGAAGTAACCCTTCTTACCCTCCCCAGACTCCATTAGCTGCTATCAATACCTGGCTCAGCTACCCCTGGGACAGCAGCAGCAATAACAAGCTTAGAAAGGTGGTTTGGGAGGAATGAAAAACTGTTGGAAGATTTGCCCTCCTCTACTCTTACATGCTACTGTTTTGCTACAGGAACTGTAAATTTCAAATCCACTGAAGATCAGTGGCAAACAATGCTTTTGATAGAGAACACTCAAGGAAATCATCCAAGACAACCCACTTGTCCCTTGCCCTCCCAACAGGTTTCTGTGGAAAGCTATGCTGATAACTTACCACACTGTACACACTTATCGCATCACTTCCAAACTGAGGTTCTGGAAAGAAAATTGGATATGCCATGAAGCTAGAACTGTCATTTTTTGTGAAACTATTCTAGACTGCAAGAGCCTGGCTTGTTTTGGTCAGCAGAGATTACACAGCACACTAAGAAATGAATTCCAATTACAATGCAATAATTACTTCTGTGGCTTCCAAAATTCCCCCCACAATTTCCACTGGGCACAATGTGCTGCTTTTTGTTACACCATAAATTTCTTACAGTCCTCTTCTCTGCTCCAGAAGCAGTTGTACTTTGTAGACAAGAGCAGTACGTAGACATATAATCCCAGAGGTTTGTATCCATTTTGACACTAGAAGTCCTCTCTATTAAAAATTAAGATTGTAAATTACCCCACCAAGCAAGAATAAAAGGGTGGTAGAGATACAGTAGAGGTTACGTGTAGACTGCTAGCCCAGACTCCTACGTGCTTACGGTAGAACATATTTAAGGAAATAACAGACCTAGAATGCTTTGAAGTTTAGCTGTTCAGGTGGTGACTTTACGAGCAGGCAGCAACTTTATGAGTAGGCAGCAGCCCTAACTTAAGCTCAGCACGACAGGATCCTTTACTGGGGAAACAGAGAGAGATTAATCTGGTTGCTTCCTCAGCCTCTATCCAAACCCTATGTGAATCCAATTTGTTTACTGACTGACACACACCACACCACCCCCCATATTCCCCTTACAGCCTATTTGATTATTCATCTTCAGATAAAACAAGACATTTTCCATCATTTTCTTTGGAGTTGCGCAGACGGGACAGAAGTTCAAGGTCCTAGGGGACTAAAGGTAGCATGGACCAGGGCACTCCAGCCAACTGTAACAAGAAAAGTCTCAAGCTGTGTGTGAACTGTCACAGCAACAGAAACAGAGACTGCCAAAATCTGCCAGGAACATCCCTGCATTCCCAGCACATACCCTCTGCTGCACTGATCAAAGGCAAAACAGCACCATAATAATCCCGGTACTGTCTATAGCTTGGGGTCTATCCTAAGTCCCAGCAGCGAGTGAGGTGACATCATGTCAGGAATATGGGACATGCTCTACTCAGCGAACAGGCTCTGTCCTGGCTAGATGCTGGCAGGGACTGAGCAAGGGAGATGAACTGCAGGATCTGAATTTTGTCAGGCTAGGGATGGTTTGCCTTACCCCTGCCCTGGCAGGCTAAACAAGGAAAAATAGAGGATACGTATAGACAGGACTTTTCAGGCCTTATTTCTAGGTTTAAAGTCCAGGCATCTACTGCATTCAGCAGACACTGGCTTCAAACCCCGACATGCCAACAAACCACTAATGCAGAGTGGAGTCTGAGCACTCCTGGCCATTGAATGTCATGAGGGTAAAAACTAAGCTTGTTTGGTCACTCAGCCAGGAAAGGCCATGTATCATGGCAATGCAGCACTCCCTACACACTCTTCAGTTCCAGGTCGCCAAGCACATCTCTACCCTGCCTCCCACATGAAGAGTCAAAGCTTCCTGGGCAGTAAGGCGGCTGCGAGGCAGCAGCTGCTCTGTCATTTCATGATCATACTTCCCCTTGGTAAGCCACAAACAGTTCTTTCCCTTTGGTTATTTCCCTGCTAGGGTACATCTCTTGCAAATTACCATCTGTACCTCCAGGGAGAAATCACTGTCCTGTGTTAGAAGAACTGGATTTCAACAGAGTTGAGATGTGTCAGGGGTTGTGCTCTTCTCTCTCCAGCTGAAGAGGGAAAATAATTTTCTTTTTTTTAACCTAAGCAAGCTTCATTACAGTGAAAGCTTCTTAGTTCAGTCTTGAAAACTCTGATTGCAACTTCCAAAGAAGAAAGATGTTCCTCCTAGGAACTATCTTAGGCCTTCTGCCCACATGCCCCATGCCCTGGGCCTCAGGCTGCCCTCAGACATGAAAGGACAGAATAAAGCGTCTTCATAGATTCTGCCCCCCCCAAAAAAACCTGAAAAGGCAGGAGGTTGTTTTCAACAGACACTCGTTAGCCGGACCACAAAGACCATTTAGTGCCCTACCCTCCACCATAAGGGATACCTGAGTCAGAGTTGTAGTCACTACACAGCCTGGGAAAGATCACAGAAGCTGACGACACGGCTCTAAGCCCTCATTAAAAGTTATCTGCATGCTGCCCTTCACTATAGAAGGTTTCTGGTCTTGGTTTTGTTCAGTTTTATTCTAAAAAACCCAACCGACTGGAGCTTTCAACCTGATTGTAACTTGCCTGATTTATGTCCCCAGCTTAAACAATTTATTCTGGCTTATGCTGAACCTGTCTGGCAGCATCAAACAAAAGCAGCAGCCAACCAGTGTTTGTTGGTGGGTTGCAAGCAAAACCATCACCTTATCTAACTGGACATCTACTTTACTGCAGGCTCAAGAAAAGCACCTGGGCAAAAAACAGCACCAGAGGAAACACAGTATGCTTCCAGACACATTTTCACAGTTCCTGAGGACCTCCCAAGAGGTCACAAATGTGCCACAAAAACCTTCTGCAAGGTGTGGATCCTGTTGAGGTTTTTTTTCCCCTCCATTACCATCACATCCCAGTATTCAAGAGGCCCTGGATCTAGACTCCACCAAGCAAGGCTTGGCACACAAAACACAAGTGCTTTTCTTAAGTTGTTACCCTCCAAGACAAAAAAACCACCCCTCAACCCTAAGCTTACAGATGCAGGCATGTGGTAACAAGCAACTGCCAGGAGACGCTGATGACACTGACTATCAGGGTCTCAGCACTGCCATGCTCAAGCGCTTGCAGTGTCACAGTAAGGGTTGTGGAGGTGGCATGAACC